TTTCGTCAGTTTCCATGCCAAAGGGTGACCTGTTTAAGAAAGTAGGTGTGATGTAGTCTGTGCTAGCTTCAAGGAGGTGTTGTTTACTGATCGCAATCGAAGCAACGCCATCACACCCACCTCCCTGATAAAAATATCTAGGGGCAACACGTTCAGCATAGTCTTCAGCACGATCGTGGGTATCCATCTCATGGCGCCCGTGACTAACAGGCAGGACACTCGTTGCAATTGATGCCAATTTAGCCTTATAGGCATGTTTCAGTGCTCTAGAGCAAAGGTTAATGGACTATTGCAGAAATGGGGTGGTGTTAAGTGTCCCAGTTTCCTCTGTTTACTGAAGAGAACAGATTTGGGTTAATATATATTAATTATAGTGCCTCGGCCACAAGCGATCTCGGCTTAATTGACAATGGAGAACGTACGCTTTTGTACGATCAAGCCGATGCCGCTTGTGACCGAAGCGCTACAATTGTGAATATATTGACACGATATTGGCTAACACGTAATGTAGCGCCTCGACAGCAAGCGACCTCGGCTTGATTTGAACAATGGACGTTTCAAACTGTTAGTAAATTACGGATTTTTTATATCATGGGGTGGAATTGATCTTCAAGGGTGAAATTAATCATTAGAATTATTTATATTTTATCCTCAACATGTTATTTAATGAACAGTATCTTCAACGTTTTGTAAAGTACGATTTGGCAAAATTGCATATATGTCAGTCAAATCTGCTACAAATTCGCCATCTTCTTAAAGTTTAAATACTTTTTTGGTTGAATATGATAATTTTAAACCCAACAGCTCAATTTATTTTTTCCTTCATCATTTTCTACCACATTTTGGACAGTACATACCGGTGATAGTTCGTTTTTCTTGATTCACAGTAGATTTTTAACGACAGGAATTTTCGAGGTGCCATTTCTATGTTCTTTTTGGCACGAAATATTTTGTTTTTGCTTTCGTGTCTTAATTCTCAGTTTCTAGAACATCTTCATTGTAGCTATCATTGGTCATTTACCTAACTTGAGTAGTTTTAGTCCTTTAATATTCCTCCGTATGGGTTCTGCAGTGTACATTCACTGCTTCCACTAATCAATTTAAACGTTGGCTACAAAACCCTCTATGTCCCTTGAAACGCCTAACAATTGCCCTGAAAACTCTTTCAGGATTTAGAGAAATAATACCGATTGCTCAAAATGAACGTATTAAAACTTTGCTGGTGGGCTTACTTCCAGTTAGTTAGAGCCGATCGCCATGCTATTTTGAACGAACAAAAAAACTCAACAAGTAAAGGTTGAGTATAGTTAATACCTGAAATATGATACGAGATTATTTCCTTCTGTATAGCGTGTAATAAACAGAAACACTGCAACTAATCAGTGAATGGTTAAATATCCACCCATTAATTATTAGTTCTGTTGTAACGGGTATCAAGGCACAGCATCTATCATTATAACATAGTTTACCCTTGTATTTAGTACCTAACTTGCAGTAGAACCACACATCATTATAGTGCTAGCGGCTTTCATAAATTTGGAGACCCGTTCGAGATACTTACTATAAATTTAGAAAATTATCAAAAGATAAAAATTTATCTTTCACAAACAAGAGCTATGGTACAATAGGCCACAAGTCATTCTTCTTCAATGGCTCCACAGACCATTATCTGACGCTTCCGTGTCCATGACCTCCTTGCCCAGCATATTCCTGAGGTTAGTGTCCGTCTCATCCTCCCATCTTGCTCTTAGCCTTCCACTATGTCTCGCTCTTTACATTTTCCTGTTAAGTAGTTGGTTCAATATCATTCCCTCCTTCCTCTTGTCGACCTCATGTCCTGCCCATTGCAACTTTTGGATCATGATACACTCTGAAAACATTGGCTCCTTGTAGTAGCTATATAGTTCCCAATTATATGATGCTCCCCATACATTATTCTTATATATGGGGACTACAATCCTTGTTTCTAGAAGAATTTCGAGACCACCTCTATGTCATCCTCCATGTCACCGCCTACGACTCTGCCTGACATAGTCTGAACCATTATTTTCATTTCTACTACATTTGTTTTCAGCCCAACCAGCTTCACCAAAGTTTTTGCTGTACCGCTTCTTGTTCGACTTAGCATATTCCAGTGCTACTTTAAACAACGTTTGTGTCAGCCCACCTCCTGGTTTTAATTCTGGTAATATTGAATGCTTTTGATATTTAATATACGTTCTTGTGTATTACTTAATGTTACTCACATCAGTTTTATAATCTTCACTGGTATACTAAACTCATATAAAAATCGGTACAAATACTCTCTGTTAATAGAATTATATGGCTGACAAAAATCTATAAAAATACTATACACATCAACGTCATATTCCCAGATAGTCTGTAGTATTTGCTTAACTGTGGATAGTTGGTCTATGGTGGATAATTTTTCCGAAATATCTTTTGCTTGGTACTCTCCTATTACTTTTTCTGCATACCTACTCATGTAGTCGTCAGTTCAGTATGCATATTATAGACTTATTTCACTCTAATGGCAGTTCCTCCTAACATATCCCTTGTAGTAGGAGACGTTATAGGTGCCTTTCCGACCTTTAACGCCTTAATGGCATTCCTTATTTAATCCATAGTTGGTGGTCTAATTGAGGGGTTCATTGTAAGTTTCTTCTTTTTGGTACTTTCATTGCTGATTATTTTCAGTATTTATCATGTTTAGAAGTTTTTAAAGAATTCTTTCCTGCCTAGTACTCTTTACTTGCTCGATATCACTTACTAGCCTTTTTGTAAGATCTCTACAGAGTTTCGTAATGGGATTTATATTATCTAGAGGAAAGGTAAGGGACAAAATACTTTAGATTCAACGGATTTACAACATATTATCAATCATTATGAAACTGATGAATGGTAAAAATCTAAACACAATTGAGTGAAGTTAATAGGTGCACATATATTTATCAGGGTTCAAAGAAAAGGCAGTTATGAAGGAAGCGTTTCAAAAACGATAAAAATGCATTGTTGCATTCATCGTGGAGAACACAGGATACAGTGGCAACCACACCTTCACTCCTCAGCAACCAAAATCGCTAAGATGTATTGAAATTGAAATCTTTACAAACCTAAAAATGGAAAAGAAGTTGCGAATAAGACAAACGTCCACATCAAGAAGAACACAAATGTGACCACTTATTTTATAATATCTTAAAATATTTTATTCTGTTATCGAAATTTAAATACATTCAAGTCTGAAAATTTGTATTTATTTTCCAACAACCTACAATCTTTTTTTTCATTTATTAAAACGAGCTAAACATACATTAAAATATGTTACATCATGGTTTATATTTACATTAACATAACGACTAAATTCACTAAGGAACAGAGTAACTTTCCGAGGGAATCTAATTTATTCACATTTGTCTTCATTCAGGTGTTAAGGACCGTTTAGTAAGCCATTTCTTCTTTCAAATCACTACCTTGGGTCATAATTAACATATCGTCAGCAAACAGAGCTTTTTTAGTGCATAGTTGGCACTTTATATCATGCATAAATATATTAAATAAGGTTGGTGACAATATACCTCCTTGAGGAACTTCTGCTCTAATACATCTTGTATCTGAATAGGTCCTATTTATTCTCACACAAAAAGTTCGTTCTTGAAGATATGACATAAGAATTGCGGTAATATAGTCATCTAGACCTACATGCAATAGTTTGAATTTTTATCCCTCCGTCCAAACTGTATCAAAGGCTTTACCTACATCTAAAAAGACGATAGTTTCAAAACCTTTCTCAATGAATTATGTAACACGCACCAACTGGTGGGTCGCTGAATGACCCGTTCGAAAACCAAACGTATGTTTGAGATAACATTTCTTTCCCAAATCTTCGTATTATAACTTTGTCAAACAATTTTAATAATAATAATAATAATTCACTTTATTGCCCAACAAAGATCAATTACAGGACAATATTACAAGAAAAAGAAAATAAGAAATAACACATGCCATAAAACAAATATAATTCACATAAACATTCTTACACTATTATTGATTGTTAGTTAGTTTACACATCCTCTGCACCGGGGAGTTGGCTAAAACATTGGATCTGCAATTCCTCAAATAAAACTGATTTGTACTACGTGTTGTAAGCGTAAGCACCGCGAAAATGATCCGCGACAACAACCAACCACAATCCAATTCACCTTGTACTAACTTCTGCAAAAACTTGATGCACTGGTCATCTCTTCTTACGTCTAGTGCAGAAAAGTTGTGACGCCGCAGCAGGGATGCGTAATCCATTCCACGATCCGGGTATGATCCGTCCAGGCGTAGAGACAAATATTTGAGAAATCTGCTCTGAATTCTCTCCAATATAAGTCTATGACATACATAATGTGGCGACCAAATTACAAAAGACAATTTGCGGTCAAAAGTTACTCCCAGATCCTTGATTGTAGATAGTTTCTCAAGAAGAACACCTTCTATATAATAAGAAGATGGAAGAGGAGACAGCTTGCGTGTAAAACTAACCGCATCGCACTTATTGGCATTAATCTTTAGCTGATAACGGTTACACCATTCCACCAAGACGTCGAAATCCGACTGAAGACTGACAACATCACGGTCCGCAAAAATAGGTCGGAAAGTTTCAGATCATCCGCATAAGCTAGTACGCTTGATGAAAATTTGTCTAGAAGGTCATTCAAGAAGATAACAAATAGTAGGGGGCCTAGATTTGAGCCCTGAGGAACACCAGACCTAGCCATGAACTCCATAGACGTATAATCGTTGTAGTACACATAATTTATACGACCCGATAGGTAAGAGGCAAATAGTTTCATAAACTTAGGAGATAAGCCAAAAGCACTAAGTTTATACAAGAGGACGTCATGATGAATCATGTCGAATGCTTTAGAAAAATCAGTGTATACCACATCTACCTGACCGCCCCTATCCAAAGATTCACAAATTACCTCAGTAACCACCGCGAGGTTGGTAATGGTCGAACGACGCTTGATAAACCCATGCTGATATGGTGACACAAATGACTGAACCTGTGGATAAATCATCTTGTAAATAATCTGTTCAAATACCTTAGCGAAATTGGACAATAACGATATTGGTCGATAATCAGTAATGTTGGTACGTTCGCCATGCTTGAATACAGGAACAATGCGTGAGCGCTTCCAAAGTTTAGGAAACGAGCAAGTGCTTAAGGATAGGTTAATTATTAAATGAAGCGGAACTGCAAAAACTGCACAGCAATCACGAATGAAAAATGCAGGAAGATCATCATCACCAGCAGTAAATTTATTAGGTAACCTTTTTAGGAAATGAAGAACCTCTTCTTCGGTGACATCGGCAACAAATACTGGAGGATACGTAGAGTGTACATCAACCATGTTATAAGCAGAGACACCAGAATATACTCCAGAGAATTGATCTGCAAAAGCATTAACTATTTTTTCAGGATCAGTGTAGGTGGACTTATCACGCATCATTTTTCCAGGAAGTCGAGAGGTCGTTGTTTTCTGT